ATCCATTCTTCTAGGTCACGTCCCATATCCAATCTATTATTTGGAACTGTTGATTTTATACATACTCCCCATGTGCCTTTCTCATCCATCAATTTTCATCCATCTTTACTATCATCACTTCAGTATAAACTACTAACTGCCTCACTGTCCTCCTTACATCCATTATGACTCCCTTTGGTTTTATTCTCCATTTTAGAGCCAAAATAATCTTTTAAAATGCAAATATTTTAATGTTAACCTATGAAAAATACTACACTGGCTTGCTTAGCATGTCATAAAAGTCTCTGTCAATCAATAGAAAGTAACACACCCTTTCTCTATAGACTCTTCTTCTTAGTATAACCCTTGTCAGAGCCATCAGGATTTGTTACTTGCATATCTACTATTAGTTTCTTTTGCCTTCAATATCTGCCTCAAATTAGGGAAATTCATGGAGATCCAGTAGATTGGCACCAAGTCTCCAACCTCCATGCAAAGTGATTAGGAGGAAATTTTATTACTGCTCTCATTTTCTATGGAAAAATGTTTCTTCTCGTTTCACATTCTATAGATATAGAATATCTCTCAGAAGGCAGAGAAGCCTAATCCGTGTTAGGATGCCAGATCAAAGCTAAGTTATGTAAGGATAAAACAAGTCCAATGTTAATGCCACGAGGAGCTCAAGGATCATTTACATATCATGGTATTTCTTACACAATATCTAAGTCTTATATATTTAAAGATAGATCATCAGGTTCTATCTTTCTAGCACATAGGAAAGTGGCTTTGGAATCATATCAAGCAACTTTCTTAACCTCTTCAGCACTTATCTGTCTGATAAATAAAATAGGATAGTAAGACTACTACCTCTGACACAGAGTTATTTTGAGGATTAACTAACATGAAGCATATAAAGCACTTCGCAGAGAGCCTGGCACATAGCAATGATCAATAGGGCCTAGTTATTATTATTTGTGTTTGTGATAGTCATAATAAAATCCATTTTAAGGATGTACTTTTAGATTAAGCTAATTTTTTTTCCCTTGGAGGAAAGGAATATTAAAGATTTTTTAAAAGTTTACTTATTTGAGAGAGAGAGAGAGAGAGAGAGAGAGAGCGAGTGCAAGAGCAGGAGAAGGGCAGAGAGATGTAGACAGAATCCCACTGATGGCGCAGAGCCCGGTCGGTGCGGGGATCGAACTCATGAACCACAAGATCATGACCTGAGCCTAAAATGGACACTTAACCGACTGAGTCACCCAGGAGCTCCATGAATATTAAGGATTTGAACAATGGTTTTGTTAAATCATTGTATCATTAATTTTGTTCTATTAGATAAATACGCATCTCACAACTGAAAACAGTTAAAATTAATCCTTTTTTTTTTTTAATTTTTTTCAACATTTTTTATTTATTTTTGGGACAGAGAGAGACAGAGCATGAACGGGGGAGGGGCAGAGAGAGAGAGAGAGACACAGAATCGGAAACAGGCTCCAGGCTCCGAGCCATCAGCCCAGAGCCTGATGCGTGGCTCGAACTCAGGAACCGCGAGATCGTGACCTGGCTGAAGTCGGACGCTTAACCGACTGCGCCACCCAGGCGCCCCCAAAATTAATCTTATTATTACTCCTCAGAAAAAGAATACATGTAAACTCTAAATTAATATTCAATATCCTTTTTTGATCACATCACTTCCAGCTCCTAGATGATTCTTATCTTTTTAGGAGTTCTCAGGCGCAAAGTCCACTGCACTATTTCCATCTGTGGGATGATTTCTGCTGGTGGCAGAGACTCTACTGTCCCCTGGTGGCATCTGCTGTCTTCCTTGGGTTCAATGTTCCAGCTCAGAAAAATTACAATTATTCTTACTCATAAATTTTAGCAGGCAGAGCTTTGAGAGTTGCTTTTCCATTCTGATCTGTCAGGGTAGAGATTCTCGGTTAGGACTCTCTCCTACAAGTTAGTATCTCATCAACACCAATGTCTCCTTTAGAAGCAGAATCATTTAGTCTCCTTAAGGAGTTGCAGATTAGCCTCTTGGAGTTCAGTTTTGCTGTCAGAGCCTGACTTTCAACAGACAGGATCCTGAAACTTTCTTCCCAAACTCTGGTGTCCTTTCTGACATCTTACTTTTGATAAAGGGGTTGGGTGTTATTTCAAACTTGTCTGGCTCCTAGTTGGGATCTCAATGATCCACAGTCTATGCCCACATAAAGGTATGAACTCAGATGTGTGAAACACAAGTTTTTTTTCTATTACTTACCTTAAGTTCAATTTTGAATGGTCTATTCCAAAGGGTTGATAATGCCATAATCTTTGCCAATTTCTGGTATCTTACTTTCTCCTCTTGGGACTGGATCTAAACTTGATAATGTCTAGTGTTGGAGCCAGTTTTGGGGCAATCCATATTCTCCCTGGGGCTTGCTGCCTTCCTGAGGCTGTATTCAGGAATCCAGGCACATATTTGCTCTGCTCTCAGATCTCATAAACCCATCTATGGAGGTTTGCTGGATTTCCCAGGGATGTGACTGGGGAAGATGGTTCAGAGACTTCTCATCTCTGAGACAATGGAAATCTGCACCACCATTGCCTCCCTTCTTACTCTCTTCTCTACCACCCACAACCCCCCAGTCTCCAGGATAGGGGATGAGTTTATTTGAGTTTTACTACTACTATTATTTTTTTTGCAAGTGGAAAGCCATGCTCTTACAAAAGATGTTTTGTCCAAATCTCTTGCTATGCCGGGAGTCTTTTTTGTTCCTGTAAAGCCAAAACTTTTAGAACTCCAAAGCCAGGAAAACTGGTTTACCCTCTGTTTTCTTTGCTGTCACATATTTCTCCTAAAGCAACGAGTACAGAGCCCAGCTGTTTGTTTGGGTGGAGTAAGGGGCAAAGAGATTGGAAAGGAGAATACTGCATGGGGGGTATGATCTATAAATATTATCCTACCACACTTATGAGGAACAGACAGAAATAATAATAGAGCTCTTAGACAAATACTCATCCCTCTATTCCAATGAAATTATGTTCTTAGCCCTAAGAAATAGTACATGCCGCTTGCTCTTTGTTTCTGCACACAGGCAAGACTTCAGAACTCTGAAGCGGTTTCAGTTAAGCGGACAATGGGACAGGTTGTCTTCTAGAAGGATTTATCTTTTCACTAGAGATCAGTATTGGAGTGGTTTTGAAAGGTATGATTCTGTTACCCAAGTTTGTTATAGGAATGTGACAGTTTATATAAAGCTGCTACTTTCCTGTGAAAAATCTAGACACAGTGAGAGTAACATTTAGTCTTTTACACTCAGAAACTTGTAGAACAGGAAGAATCACGTTATATCTTCTGAGAATGCAGAGGTATCCTCAAAGCACCTTTGCAGTTTGAACTTTCATTTTGAAGTATGTTATTATTTTAATAAGGTATTAGCTATTTATAATTAATAATTGCTTATACCTGTTGAGTACTATGTTTCTGATACTAAAACATCTAAATAATTCTTCACCTAATCCTCATAAAAACCTTAAGAAAGGGCACCTGGATGGCTGACGGTAGAGCATGCGACACTTGATCTTGGGGCTGCCAAGTTCAAGCCCCATGCCGGGTGTAGAGCTTAAAAACAAAACAAAACAAAAAAACAACTTAAGAGATACCTATCATTATCCTAATTTACCAATGAGGGAACTGAAGCACACAGAGGTTAAGTAACTTGTCAAAGTCACAAGTTAATTAGTGATTGAATTTGAACCCCGAAGCCTGATGGCACAGAAGTGCTTAACTATCCCAAGTAGTTAATCACAATGATATTCATAATGATAATAATGGTTAGGAGGTTACGGTGTAAAAGTGACAATTCTCAGAATAATAAGCTAAAGGCTATCTTTAAGCTAGAGGAGTAGAAAACTTTTAATGTGAATTTATGTTTTGATATTTGTGAGACAAACTGTAAATTGCCATTTGCAGCCTGTAAATGAGAATGGATTAGAGAACAATTTATTTTAATTCATATTCATCAAAGGACTCATGAGTTGTGTGCTGAGCTTACTTGACCCTCAGGGAACCACAAAGAATCAACACCATGGAATTCAAGGATGTCAACTGGTAAGGAATTAAAATTTTACATTAGTTTTAATGTGCTGGAATTTGAAAGGGTCAGCAGGAAGCACTGATAATCTTCTCAAAGCATACACAAAGACACATGGAAATAAAATTTCTTGTTAGCATTCTGTATAACTCATTCATTCATTCAAAACAATTTATTGAGCACCTACTACCTGCTGGACACTGTTAGAAGTGCTCTGGATAAAGCAATGAACAAAACTAAATTCTTGTCCTGGCAGAGTAATTCTAATGGGAGAGGATAGATGAAATAATGAACAACTGGAATGTCACAAAGTGCTAAAGAACATACCAGTTCTCTCTAAAATTAGGCTTGATCAGAGGTGAGTCTACGTTCCTATGACTAGGTAAAATCTTTACACAAATTCCCATAAGGGGAAACTGGACTATAACACAGTTTTATCAGGGAACGAAACGGCTCTTTTCTGGACGTTCAGCTTCACAGTCATCAGTAAAAATGTTAATATTAAGAGTAACTTCTAACAAAAAGGCAGTAATAACATGGCCACTCTTGATTAGCTACCACCAGCCTGTGTTAGGCATTGTGCTAAGCAATTTACGTTTCAATCCTCAAAACGACCCCCCAAGGTGAGCATTTTGTCCCATTTTCCAGACAAGCAAAATGAGTTTCAGAGAAGCAGTCACTCATCCGTTAGCGGCGGACTGAGGCTGGGATGGAGAGGACGGTCTCCAAAGCTCTTTTACACTACCGTGGTAGGAAAAGCGATGAAACACGTGCGAAAACAATAAAAACGATCGGGGATGCAAATTCACTACGCGAAAAGCAAGAAAGCACAGGGCAGAGAACTACAGAGAACGCGCACGAGCTCCAGCGCGCGGAAACGACGCCGGGAGGAGGCGCCGGAAGTCAGGGCGCGGCTTCCCGACCTCACGCCGGAAGTAGCTCGTCAGCGCCGCCGACAGATCGTCGCGGAGAAAGTAGCTTTGGGGTCGAAGGTGCTGGGCGTCCACGAGATTGTCTGAGTTCGCTTCCAAGCGCATCTGCAATTCAGTATGTCTCACCCGTCCCCCCAGACTAAGCCCTCCAACCCCAGTAACCCCCGAGTCTTCTTTGACGTGGACATCGGAGGGGAGCGAGGTGAGCAGAGTCTGATACCGAGGAAGCTGGACTTACCAGGATTTGGGCGACTCCGAGGGTGGCGTGCGGTTCGGGCCAGGGGCTGCACTGTGATGCGAAGGGGATGGCTCCCTAGACTGGACTGTTGGAACAAATACTGATTTCCAAGGCTGGGTGGAGTCCGCGCCCTTGTACCAATACCATCGGTCGCGCGGAAGTTTCTGGAAATTTCTGGTTTGGGGATTGTGGCGACCTTTAGTTTGTCTCTCCTGATTTGGTTGTACTTCCTCGCCACCTTGCATCAAGCAGGCATGAAATAAGGTTGTTTTATGTATGTAGTGGGACATGCAGAAAACTGTGATAGGCGTTTGTTGAGTTCCGGTCACGCCATGTCTTTTTGCCACGCGAGATACATATCAGCAGCTGCCATATGGTTTATAAATAGAGCGACTTTTGTTTGTTGGTTTTTCTTATTACCTATTTTTAACTTAGAGGTACCGTCAGGTTGGTGAATATTTTCTGTTTTGGCATTGGGAAAAAGGAGCTCAGTGTAGCAATGTGGTTGCCTAGGCTACGTCAGCGGCTCGGAAGCTCCTAGGGTCTTGTGAATTAGCTTATGGATTTGTAACTGAATTGCTCTTGTAGAACGGGTTAGGTTTGTGGGGCTAGGCTGTGTTAACGCAAATACTAACGGACACATCAGGATTTAGGGACCCCGTGGATGATTATGGCCGCACATGTACATTTTGTTTTGAAATTAGCGCGAGGTTTATTTTACCTGCCTTAGGAGTTGTCTAAAATGGGAACAACTTCACATTTTTGCTTGAGCGGCTGCATTAGGCAGATTCCATAGAACACAGAGGCTACAGCTATACTTAAAATTCAGCCAACCTGACCACTCAAAGGATATTTAATTTTCTCCTCTTGGTTACTTGGTGGTTATAATTTCTGAGTACAAGTTAGAAGAAATGACTCAGAATTTAAAACCATTTGCACTTCATAGTGTCCCTTATATGGTGTTAATCTTCTGGCTACTGTATTTATGATCCTTTGTTAAGATGTAGAAAAGTAATTGCTTCAGATTCATTAAGATACATGACACTTAACATTAGAGTAAATTTGAATGTTAGAAAAATGACCAAAAAGAGAACTTGGTATTTTAGTCACTAGAATTTTACCAGCTCCCCTTTTATCATTTGCATATTTGGTTGTTTGCATACTGACATGATTTCATTTTTTATTTTAGTTGGTCGAATTGTCTTAGAATTGTTTGCAGATATTGTACCGAAAACTGCAGAAAATTTTCGTGCATTGTGTACAGGAGAAAAAGGCATTGGACCTACCACTGGGAAACCTCTCCATTTCAAAGGATGTCCTTTCCATCGAAGTATGTGTAAAAATTTGAATCTGATTCTTTTTTTTTAACGCTTATTTTTGAGAGAGAGAGAGAGAGAGTGTGTGTGTGTGTGAGAGAGAGTGAGTGTGTGTGTGCGCGCGCACGTGGGGAAAGCAGAGAGAGGGAGACAGAAAATCTCAAGCAGGCTATATCAGCACAAAGCCTGATGTGGGACTCGAACTCCCAAACAGTGGGATGGTTCCTGACCTGAGCCGAAACCAAGAGTTGGACGCTTAACCAACTGGACTACCCAGGTGCCCCTTGAATCTGATTCTCGTAAATAATTCTGTAGGCATTAGGGAAGAAAATACCAAGTGATAAAGAGTGAAAGTTAAAAATTACTGCTGGTTTCAGGAGGATGCTTTGACATCTGAGGCAGTAGCTCAATTTCATAAAGGTTGGGCTGTGAAAGTGGAATTCTGAGAGGGTGCTAAGGTTTACTTAGAAATGGAATGCCTTAGCTTCACCAGACATCTGGCTCTTCACACCAGTGGGATTAGATTGAGAAAAAAGGGTGTGCTATGATAAAGAAATAGACTTTATTTTTTTTTTTTCTTAAAGTTCACTTATTTATTTTGAGAGATAGAGAGTGCATGTGTGTGTGCAGCACAAGCGGGAGAGGGGCATAGAGAGAGAGACTGAGAGTCCCAGAATCCCAAACAGGCTCTGCGCCTACAGCTACACTCACAAACTGAGATCACGACCTAAGCTAGATCAAGAGTTGGATGTTTGACCGATGGAGCCATCCACACGCCCCAAGAAGCAGACTTTAGCTTGACCGATGACAGAAAAGTTATACCTAGTACTGGACAGGATTGCTTGGGAAGGCTGTAGCTGATTGAAAGATTCAGTGTCTTGGTATTATTTTAATTAAAAGATGACACTTCACAATGCCTGTCACCCTTTGTTTAGTGATTATTTGATGGTTCACTAATAGGCTCTAGGTTCCATGAATTCAGGAACTAAATCTTTTCATCGTTTTGTCTTCAGCATACAGTATAGTTATTAAATAGGCACTCAATAAATATTTGCTTAATGAATAAATAAGTTAAAGCATAATCATGAGTAGTATTTTTATTTATTTTTAAAAAAAATTTTTTTTCAACATTTTTATTTATTTTTGGGACAGAGAGAGACAGAGCATGAACGGGGGAGGGGCAGAGAGAGAGGGAGACACAGAATCGGAAACAGGCTCCAGGCTCCGAACCATCAGCCCAGAGCCTGACGCGGGGCTCGAACTCACGGACCGCGAGATTGTGACCTGGCTGAAGTCGGACGCTTAACCGATTGCGCCACCCAGGCGCCCCATGAGTAGTATTTTTAAAAGAAACTTGATTAAGAAAAAATTAATGTTGATTATAAAATATTTAAATGTTTTACATTTATGTTTAATAAAATACTAAAATATACTAATAGAATGTAGTATTCAGAAGAGAGTTGATGTAGGAGGCCTGAGACTGCTTTCCTTAGAAAGGTTTGCTTGCAGGATGGCCATTAGCTGGAGTTTAGGAATTTGGCATTTGAACGATTCCCTGAATCATAATGATGGTTTACTGTGCCCAGATTGTTTGTACACACACTTTGATTTATGCTGAACATCTGATTTCCTTTTGAGAGTCTGAAATTTTGGTACATGGCTAGGTAGAGAGTAACTGCATGATCAGCCCTGATGAAAACCCTGGATGAGTCTGTAATGGGCAACAACATTGTGCACATGTTGCTGCATTTGTTTTTTTGCTGGGGGAAGAATGTGCTATATGACCTCTCATAGAAGCGAGAGAGTGTAAGGAAACACATGGATTCCTCCAGACTCTGTTTATTATCTTTTTCTTTTATCATCTAGTTGTGTATCTTTATTACATTACTGTAATGCAACCAAATGCTGAGGCCCATGAATCCTAGAAAATGTCTGAACATGGAGGTGGTCTTGGGAACCTTTGACACCAAGTGCTAATACTTGCTAAAGTACTTCCATTCTCGTGTAACAAATCTCAGAATAATTGATCTTATTTAGTAGACTTTAATGAGTAACGTGCCTAGCCATGTGCATGGTGAAAAGCAGTTGCTGTACTTAAGAAATTGTTTCCTAGAAGAGACAGATCATTACAATATGTGTTGTAAAGGTAGAATCAAGCTGCTGTGGGAGGGAAATTGATGAGATCCAACTTGGGGGTCTCTGACAGTTTCACAAGGAGGTGCCATTTGAACTAATTCTTTGAGTATTAGTGAGTGAGCAGGCAGTAAAAGTAGTTTGGACTCAGACTGAAAAGTCTTTTAAGAGTTTGGAGTTGTGGGGATGGGTGGGGAAAGATAGGAGAGTGCTAAGACTAGAGTCATGTTTTAGGAAGTTCATCTTTCTTACTACATGTTCATTAGTTAACATTACTATAGTCATCCATATTTTAGTTTCTAATAGCTGTTTTCCTTTTTTGTAGTTATTAAGAAATTTATGATTCAGGGTGGAGACTTCTCAAATCAAAATGGGACAGGCGGAGAAAGTATTTATGGTGAAAAATTTGAAGATGAAAATTTCTATTATAAGGTAAAGTGGACAAAAGGGAATGTTTATTGCTAATAGTAAGGGTTATTAGATGTCTGGGATACTTGTTGGACTAAGAACCAATAAATGTTTCAACGTGTGCTTAGATTCTCCTTTTCTTGTAGAAGGTATCATATTTGTAAATATATATTTAATATATATTTACTATTTTTAATATAGAAAAATTTGATCCACTAATTTTATTTGGCAAAAATACAATGGTTATGCTTGTGAGATCCAGGTTTACATACTTCAGTAAAGCCAATGAGTTTTTATTTTTTATTTATTTATTTTTTTCAAAAATTTTTTTTTTCCTTTTTCAACGTTTTTTTTAATTTATTTTTGGGACAGAGAGAGACAGAGCATGAACGGGGGAGGGGCAGAGAGAGAGGGAGACACAGAATCGGAAACAGGCTCCAGGCTCTGAGCCATCAGCCCAGAGCCTGACGCGGGGCTCGAACTCACGGACCGCGAGATCGTGACCTGGCTGAAGTCGGACGCTTAACCGACTGCGCCACCCAGGTGCCCCAAGCCAATGAGTTTTTAAGAGTGGCCACCATATGGCAGAATTGTTTCCAGGAAAAATGTTCTCATTATCAGAAGGATGGTAACTTGTGCATCTTTATGCTTGAATTTGAAGAGCAACAAAACCATGGCTAATATCCAGGATGTCAGGGGATTTGCAAAGTAATGGATATGGTTAATGTCCAAGCTCCTAAAGGACATTAGTGGTGCCTGTGCCTTCTTATCTTCATTTTCCCAAGATGTAATTGGGGTATATTGCATCATTCAAGTTGTAAGAAGGGACACGTAAGTACAAAAGTAAAGTAATATCTTTGGAAATGAGGAATATGAGCAAGGTAATTAGGATAATTTGAAAAGAAATTGTCATCAGTCTTTTAAACAGTATTCATTGGCAGCAATTGTATGTATTTAGTACTGTCACTGGCACCAGAGGGTTTATAAAAATGAATGGCTTTGGTGATAATTTAAGATCTTACCAGGAAGACCAGATTAAAACACATGGGACAACTGGAGAATAAATAATATGCAAATTAATGCTAAATTGATTGAGACTTTATATATTCTAGGAGACAGGTATGATTTACATATTCTAAATTATTAGGGGAGACATTGAAGAGGAATGGGTACTTAAACTGGGCCTTGCATGCTCTGGTTTCTCTTCAAATCGCATAAATCTTTCGCCTTTTACTAAACTGGGCCTTGCAGGGTGGCCAAGACTTGGTTAGACAGGAACTAAAACATAGATGCCAGTTTGAAGGATATGAGTGAGGAAAGACAAAGGCAATAGAAAGCTAAGAAAATAAAGTTAATATTCTATTTGATATTGTGGGAAAAGCACCAAACTTTGGGAATGGAAAAAAGAGAAGCTACCTGAAGAATGAAAACTAAGATTATGTGATCACTTTGATCAAAAGAAAGGGGGCCTATTGAAATGATGGTTTGTGCCTTCTACAAACTTGGTAACCTTGAAAGCTGAAGTTTTTGGGTTGCAGGGGTAAAAGGCAATTTTGGTGGGAAGACTAACAGAGGACAGTGCATGACCCGACAAAAATTTAGAAAGCCTAAGGATAAAGTGGAAAGATGAAGACATTGAGTTTCATAGAATCTTTGAATAGGTTGATGCCAAGTAGAAATTTGATTTTGAGATGTATGCAGCAGTTTGTTTAGGTCATTCTCTGGAATGGTTCTCTGAAGATTCACCTGGAGTGAAAGCCATAACGTTTGTATTTTTTTTTTTTTAAGTTCTATTTATGTATTTATTTTGAGAGCACGCGTGCGTGTGTTTGTGTGTGTGTGTGCGCGCGCATGCGTGCGCGTGCATGGGGTCAGGGCAGAGAGAGGGGAGAGAATCTCAAGCAGACTCCACGCTGCCGGCACAGAGCTGACCTGGGGCTAGATCCCACAAACTGTAAGATCATGATGTGAGCCAAAATCAAGAGTTGGATGCTTAGCCACCTGAGCCACCCTGGTGCCCCTGTTTGGATTCTTCTGAGATTAGGAAAGTACCTAACGAATGTCCTGTCTAAATTGAATGTCCCATCACTGTTCCGAGTTTATTGATGTGTAAAGGAGGAATCAAAGTGTAGGCTCATAAAAATGGGAAGACTGTTTCCTGTTCTCAGACTGTTCCCTGTTCTCAGACTGTTCCCTGTTCTCAGAAGAGAGAGCATTCTTTATGAAAAGAGGGCAGAGTACAATCATTAGATTTCCATAATGCAGCATCTAAGATGAAGATGCTGCATTATGGAAGATACAAACATGTTCTCAAAATGGCCTGTTTAGAAACACCTGCCCCCCCCCCCCGCCCGTTTTCATTATTTTATTTGGTTTCATAAACTTTTCTTAAGGTCTAAAAAGTGATTAAGTGCCCCATGTTTGTGGATTAAAGGTTGCAATTTATACAAAATAAAATTACATTGTTTGCTCTGAGTAACATTAAAGCCTGCCCTAGTTTTATGTGAATGGTCAGTGAAAGAATGATTCAGACTAGGACCACTAACCTTGGTTTTCTTTTAATGATTTTTATTTCTACAGCATGACCAGGAAGGTTTATTGAGCATGGCAAACGCAGGCTGCAATACAAATGGTTCTCAGTTCTTTATCACAACAGTTCCGACTCCTCATTTGGATGGGAAACATGTGGTATTTGGTCAAGTAATTAAAGGAATGGGTGTGGCAAGAATACTGGAAAATGTAGAAGTGAAAGGTGAAAAACCTGCCAAAGTAAGTAAAAAGTTATAGTGAGATATACTTGTTATCTTAATTACTGCCTTAAACATAAGTAAAAGGGTCAGGTGATTATTAGTTGGGAGAATGTTAGGATGACTTTTGGTATTGAAGCTTGGACTGCCACTTTTTTTTTAAACTTTTCTACAGTGGGAAAGATGAGATTAGGGTAGTTTATAAGGAGATTTTTATTTCAACTTCAATTTTGGTGATTTTTTTTGTACGTTTCTTAACTCTTTCTATACCTGCAAAACTTTGAATCAGTATGTGCAGTAGTACATAGTAGGAAGAGGACAGGAAACCAAGAATCCTGTCTAGACTCTGCCATTTAACTGGTGGTTTGGCCTTGATCTTGTTATTTAAGTTTTCTTGTCATGTTTCCTCATCCTGTATAAATTACTTGAGGGTTTAGACTAGATTATATAACTCTGTAAAGAACCTCGTATTTTACATGTCCTTGAATCACAGTGGCCAGAATACTACCTAACCTAGTTGGCAGGGTTGTGTGTGGGAACTGGAAACTGAAATACTTAGAGGAGATAGACTGTTGTTTCTCATTGTATGACGGAAACAGTAGTAAACTTGAAAGGACATGCCTCACCGAAAGAAAATTATATAGAAAATGATAACATTTTCAACTATTCTCTGTATACTGAGCCGCTAAATAGCAGTAAAACACTTTCATAAAATAGTGACATTGTATTGTATAGTGGAATGTATATAAAGGGCATTATTGTAATCAGAGCAGATAGATGAGACTTCTGTCAATCTGTCATTTTAGAAGTGACATGGACAGTGTTGCACATAACTTATACCTGTATAGCTTCTAAACCTAGATCTCTTGTTTTTAATCTCATTAATATGGTAGTGCACCTCTACAACTTAGGATTATTTTTACAGTTGTGCGTTATTGCAGAATGCGGAGAATTGAAGGAAGGGGATGATTGGGGCATATTCCCAAAAGATGGCTCTGGTGACAGTCATCCAGATTTCCCTGAGGATGCAGATATAGATTTAAAAGATGTGAGTACTTTCAGATTAGTCAAACTTTATTAAAAATAGTACTAAAATTTTGAGCTTTGTATCAGTCTGTCTTAATGATAGAACCTAGCATTTAGCTACATTAATTACTAAAATGCAACATATTTGTATTTTTTTTATACAGGTAGATAAAATTTTACTAATAACAGAAGACTTAAAAAATATTGGAAATACTTTTTTCAAATCCCAGAATTGGGAGATGGCCATTAAAAAATATACAAAAGTTTTAAGGTAATAAAATATTTTTAGTAAGTTAATTTTAATAACTTGTAACTTGAATTATAAACTGAAATTCAGAGTTGTTTATTGTCTTTTGGGCAAAATTACTTCGTAGAATAATAACCAGGTGTGTTGAAATAGTTGCATTTCTTTTGTTTCCTTTAACTTCTTATTTTGAAAATTTCAAAATACAGGAAAATTGAAAGAATAGTATGTGAATACTCATGTACCTTTACCTGTTTTCACTAATTTTTAACTTTTGCTACATTTGTTTTTGTAGAATCGTTTTGAAAGGAAGTTACAGATACCATGACATTTACCCCTTCAATGGCTTAGCAGATATTTCCTAAGAATCAAGAACATGCTTCCACATAACCTTCTGGACCACTGAAAAAGACCCCCAGAATAATATTGATCCAATAATATTGTCTAATATGTAATCCATGTGCAGATTTCCCTAATTATTTCACTTGGTTTTGTGTCTCTAGTCTCCTTTAATCTTCGGTAGTTCCTATTTTACATTAGGTTTTCTAAGTCATTTGTATTTTGTGCAGTCTTAAGTCAGTTGTTTTATGGAATACCATCTGTATTTTTTTGCTCCCTCAAGATTATTTTGAGGTTAAATATTTTGCCAAGACCACTTAAATCGGTGGTGTTGAATATTTCCTATGATACCACATCCTGAAAGCACATGTCAATTTGGCCTATTTTGAGTTTTGGCATTTGGTTAAAGTGGCATTAGCCAGATGCTTGTGTCATAAAAGTACCTTTTCCTTTTGTAAATAATAAGTACTTTGTGAAGTGATCCTGTGAGATTGTGTAAATATCCAGCTCCTAATCCTTCTTTCATCCAGTGGGTGTTAGCATCATTGAAGATCTTTGCCCGAATCAGTTATTACATTGATGGTGACAGAACTGATTTTCTAATTTATCATTCATAGCTGGCATTCTAATGTTTGAAAGAGCCTGTTCCCTCTGCCCCGCCTCCCTTTTTAGTACCACTGTAGATCTATGTTTTTGGGTTTTTTTTTTTTTTTCCAGTTCAGCTTGTTACTGTACTCTCCTTTTTGATGTTCGAAGGGTTCCAATTTGTCCAGTGGAAGCCCCCTTCCTGTATCTGTTTGACATGTTCCTATTAGTCTGTGAGCACTTGCTTGCTTTCACAAGGTGTTCTATGTTCATCTTGTTTCTTGATTTGGTATTAGCAGTTTCTCCAAGGACCCCTGGCTCTTTTTATTGGGGGATTGATTTTAGAAAGCAGATTCTGAGAGCCAGGTGTGCTCATCATTTCTGGGCCTTCTTCCGTGGGCAGAGCTAAGAATTGTATTAAAATACAGTTCAAAGTCAACAGTTCAAAGTCAACAAAGTCAGCTGTATTAAAATACAGTTCAAAGTCAACTCATTCCATACCCTCTCCCACAGTGAGGACCTTGGCTCAAACATAATTACATTGGAACGTAAATAATGGAGATTGTGAGTTTTAAAAATTGGGACATGTTAGTTGTGCATGATTATCTTTAGATTTGGGGATTGTTGTTAAATTGGTTTCTTTGAACACTTTTGGGGAAAAAGTTGGAACAAATAAAAATAAATCTTCTAAAGGAAAATAAATTGTGATCATTAAGAATATTAATATTAGCATTTGATGAGCTTTTTATATCAGAAGTGACATAATACTTTTTGCCATAGTTGAAGGAGCAGGTTAAGTTGTATGTGGCGTTACATGCCAACTTTATTAATGTATTCTCCAGATACGTGGAAGGTTCAAAGGCTGTTATTGAGAAAGCAGACAGATTGAAGCTGCAACCTATAGCTTTAAGCTGCGTGCTGAATATTGGTGCTTGTAAACTGAAGATGTCAAATTGGCAGGGAGCAATTGACAGTTGTTTGGAGGTAAGTCTCTTTGACATCAGACTTTTTGAAGGAGTTGGTTTATGATTTATCAACTTGAACAAAAACAATTTTATATACATTAATATATTTTATTACATAGGACCTAATGAGACTTGATGAAAAAGTTCTTTTATCTCTAAATACTTTGGACCTTCAGTTCTTCCTGTTAATCCATTCATTTAGCTTATAACATTATGTAACTTAATACCAATGAAGATATTTTCCTTTTCAGAGCACAGTATCAGCTCATTTATTCATTTTAACATATTGAGCACCTATTGTGTGCTAGGTATTGGAAGACAAAGCCAGGAATGATTAAGATTATGGGTTGTGGAGCCAGTCAGACTTGGGTGTTTTTGTTAGACTTCCATTACTAACTTTGTGTTGGGTAAGTCCTAATTTTAGAGAGTTTCAACATCTTTATTGTTTATTTATTTGCTTATTTTAAAGTTTATTTATTTTGGGGCGCCTGGGTGGCGCAGTCGGTTAAGCGTCCGACTTCAGCCAGGTCACGATCTCGCGGTCCGTGGGTTCGAGCCCCGCGTCAGGCTCTGGGCTGATGGCTCGGAGCCTGGAGCCTGTTTCCGATTCTGTGTCTCCCTCTCTCTCTCTGCCCCTCGCCCGTTCATGCTCTGTCTCTCTCTGTCCCAAAAATAAATAAAAAACGTTGAAAAAAAAATTAAAAAAAAAAAAATAAAGTTTATTTATTTTTAGAGAGAGAGAGAGATGGCATGAGAAGGGAAGGGGAGGAGAGAGAGGGAGAGGCTTTCAAGCAGGCTCCGTATTGTCAGCACAGAGCCTGATGCGGGACTCAAACCCACAAACTGTGAGCTCGTGACCTGAGCTGAAGTCAGGAGTCAGACATTTGACAGACTGAGCCACCCAGATGCCCCAACATCTTTATATTAAATGAAAATAATACTTGCCTTATGGAATTGTTACAAAGATTATATAACATGTAAGAACATTTAGCACAGTATTGGGCATATTTTAAGCACCTAACAGAGATAGGGTGTTTTTGTTTTTTTTTTTTTTTTTTAGATATGAGAGAGAGAGAGAGAGGGGGAGAGAGGGAGAGAGAGGTAGAGAGAGAGAATGTCAAGCAGACTCTGCGCTGTCAGCACAGAGCCTGAACTGGGCTCCAGCTCACAAATCATGAGATCATGACCTGAGCCAAAACCAAGTCAGACATTTAACCAGCCGAGCCACCCAGGCACCCCGAGATTAGGTGTTTCAGTTAAAAGACTCATACTCTCAAGGAACTTTTTATTTGGCTGAAGAGGGAGTCAGTTTCAATTTAGGGTCATCAGGATTTACATAGGGAGAATGGATACTACTGAGACACTCAAAGGTCACCTGTCTTCATGGGGACATCCAGGGATACTGACTGATAAAGCTAGATAGGTGGCAGCATTACCTCCTTAATCGAGCAGTTATGACATTCTTCCTATTGCATAGTTGAAAAATTTTCCAAACTGTGTATTTTAGAAAGACCCATCTCCAGTAATTTTTATGTATTTTGCACATTAAGCAATGTAATTAAATCAGTTATGCCCAGAATAAGTAGAAATCAAATGAGATCTGGGGTGCCTGGTTAGCTCAGTTGGTAGAGCATGTGACTCTTGATCTTGAGGTTGTAAGTTTGAGTCCCATGCTGGGTGTAGAGATTACTTGAAAAAAAAAAATTTTTTTTTAATGAGATACTAATTTGGTAGGATAGGTAGAATAAGGGCTAATATATTTAGAAGGGAGCATACAACAGGAAAAAATTTATCCAAGGAAAAGTTTGGTCTTCACTCTGGGTTTCCTTCCCTTCCCTTCCCTTCCCTTCCCTTCCCTTCTTTCCCTTCTTTCCCTTTTAATGTTTATTTCTGAGACAGAGAGAGACAGAGCATGAGTGAGGGAGGGTCAGAGAGAGACGGAGACACAGAACCAGAAGCAGGCTCCAGGCTCTGAGCTGTCAGCACAGAGCCCAATGCGGGGCTTGAACTCACAAACCATGAGATCATGACCTGAGCCGAAGTTGGTCTCTCAACCAACTGAGCCACCCAGGCGCCCCTCTTTTTTTTTTTTAAAGTAGTCTCCACACCCAATGCGGAGCTTGAACTCCTGACCCGGAGATTAAGAGTGGCATGGTCCACTGACTGAGCCAGCCAGGTGCCCCAACTCTGGATTTCTTTTGGACCTTTGTGAGGCAGATAATATGCCTTTTGCAGTAAAATCTTAGTATTGACCTTTAGAAGATGTGAATAAACAAAATAGGTTATTTCTAAAATGTTTGTTTCAGAGCAAAGACCTATTAAGTGTTAACTACTGCTCCTTAAAAAAACTCATAGATTGCAAGTAAAGAGTGTAACAAATTTTTATTCATGTTTTTCTCTGTTAATTTAGGGTCTAATCAGGAGATAGAAACTATATAGTAATTTGAAAAGAGAAAGTTTAATATAAAAGTACATGTAAGAGGAGATTGGAATAATGAGGGATTGGCTAGTAAAGAGAATTCTGAAGAATATGGGAACAGCAGATCTATATCTATCTGCCATATATAAATATATGGAGCTGGGATGGAGCCTCAAGGAAAAGTCACCTCTTAAGGGCCCTTAGGCTGAGATCCGTACTTCATTGGAGAGGGGATAGCTGTGACTTACTGGTGGCAGAGAAGTTCAATGGGTACCATACTTGTGATTCCCTGTAGTGCTTAGGGAAGTTGCCTGCAGGGAGCTCCTATTGACCAAGTAGTGCTGTTGACCAAGTTCAGTGCAGGAGCCCAAGAGAGAAATGCACTGGAACCTGCAAGAAAAACAGCTTTTCTCATCCGTGTCCCTTTAGTGCCCTCTACTGACAAAATGTAATGTGCCAGCTGGCAGAGGGTATTTACAGGGTCCATCCAACTCCATTATCACAGAGCAGTAAAGGGTTGATTTGTAGCTGACTGGCAGTAAATTGAAATCTAGCACATATATTTAATTCTTAATATTTAGATAAAAATATTAATTTTACAATTTTTTTGTAGGCTCTTGAAATAGACCCATCAAATACGAAAGCATTGTACCGTAGAGCTCAAGGATGGCAAGGATTAAAAGAATACGATCAAGCTTTGGTAAAATTTTGTTCTAAATTTTAATTTTTTTAGACAACCACCTTCATAAATCATACATCTAATTTCTTTAAATGTTTTTTTTTTTCAATTAAAGGCTGATCTTAAGAAAGCTCAGGAGATAGCACCAGAAGATAAAGGTAAGTTTGTACTTTTTATAGTGAAACTTCATTTTGTTCTGTAAGAATTCACCTTCATAAACCATTGTATTTTTTGCCACTTAGAGACCTATTTGTTCAACATATATTACAGAATGTCTGTTATTGGGCTAGGCATTGGCCATACTGCAGTGAACGTCAAGATCCCTGCTCTCAAGGAGCTTACATTCTGGTCTCTCTTCAGAATATTGATTTTCACACATCTGAATACTATTTTTCTATCATATCATTTGAGATCTGGTTCCTATTGCTATAATTCTAGTTGAAAGCACAGCACTAAAAGATAAAGTATTTATGATGAATTTAATGTTTGGGACCATTCCTTAAGCTGAATGAGGCCATAATATAAGTATTCTAGTTACTGGATATGTTTTAGGAAAGCTATGGAAAGTTAGTGCACAAAAATTTGTTTTTCAAATAATGCCTGCTACAAATAGTGATGGTAGGCCTAGGTATTAAAATATATCTTCAGTTTCTTATTACTAAAGTAAAATAGGAAAGGCACTTCTTTCAAATTGACAATCTTCTAAAATTATGTTTCATGGTTTTTGTGTTTGTGTGATGTTTCCTCAGTAAAATATTCTGTTAATAGAGCTCAGTTACTTTATGGACAAGAAGAGTTTTATCAACGGCGGGGGCGTTAACTGTCGTACTAAAACATCAGTTTGTTGGGCATCCTCATTTTTTGGATGTTTTGAGAAATAACTCCTATTTACATATTTATTTTACAGCTATCCAGGCAGAATTGCTGAAAGTCAAACAAAAGATAAAGGCACAGAAAGATAAAGAGAAGGCAGCATATGCAAAAATGTTTGCCTAATAAGGAATTCAGTTTTATTTACATATGCATTGATTGTATAAAGGCAATAAGAAAATTTAAAGGTTTCTGTCTGTTATAGATGATCCCTGATGTGTTTCCTTTGATACTTCAGTTTCTCATTGTTTACAGTTTAGGAATACTGAAAAGGGTTCACTCTTAATAAAACGGTGTTACAAAATACAGTGAAGTTGGTTCTTCTTAATGGCTATTCTGCATTAGTTACAAAGAATAATGGTGTCCAGCCTGTTTCTAATCTCCTAAAGACACATCTGTTGGATAAACAGATTAAAGCTTAAGTTTGTATACTGTTTCCCTTGATTCTTTGATGTATTTCTTTGTGGTTGGTTTTTGCTGGCATTTTTATACTTACATATAATACAGATATACATGTTCAGGGGTTGGCAGACTTTATCCAGAGGGCCAGAGAGTAAATATTTTAGGCTTTGTGGACCATTATCATCTGTCACAGCTACTCAGTTCTATAGTTGTAGCCACAGACAGTATGTAAACCACTGGGCATGGCTGTGTTCCAATAAAACTGTTCATAAGAAAAGTGGTGGGCTGGATGCTCATCTCTGGTCTAGAATAATAATACGTTTATACTTGAAGTCTTGAATTTGACAAGTGCAATATACATTAAAGGCCAGTAGTGTATTTGCTATTGGTACTGAATCTCTGAAGAATTAAAGAGGTAAGCAGATGCTACCTCATTGATAAGGTTTTATGTAAGAGGCGTATTCATAATTTTTTATGGGACAATTTTAGGTGTAAGTATAAAATTTTTATTTCGTTGATAATTTTATGAACATTCTGGTCAGTAATATGTGGTAAGATAGTTTGACAACCTGTTGACTTCTAAATGTTTAGTTAGCTTGCCATACATTTTAAAGAAACTCTCACAAGTGCCTGCAAATGAAATCAGTTGCAGTTTACATTCCATTGTAAGCAGGTCCTCCACCGCCTTCAGGTACCACCCAGTTAATATTCTGACTTGGATCTTTAATATCACATGTTTTACAATGCACACAATTCTGAGCATTTATCTGTAACCGAAATCCATCACCTTGTTCCAAAGGTACAAATTCATAAACTCCTGTAAGGAAAAATAAATAATACTATGAAGTGCGTATTTTGACTTTTAAAATTCAAACGTAGAAATTGAACCCCTGCAAACAGTAGCTACAGAAACCTTAAAGGTTTGTTTTCTGAATGTTTACCCATAGAGAATATTATGAAGATCTTGGTGTGTGCCATTGCTGTTAGTATAAATTATAGATAAAAGGGGCGCCTGGGTGGCTCAGTCAGTTAAGCGGCCGACTTCGGCTCAGGTCATGATCTCACAGCCCGTGAGTTCGAGCCCCGCGTTGGGTTCTGTGCTGACAGCTCAGCCTGGAGCCTGTTTCGGATTCTGTGTCTCCCTCTCTCTGACCCTCCCCTGTTCATGCTCTGTCTCTGTCTCAAAAATAAATAAACGTTAAAAAAAAAAATAAAAACAACTAGTTGTTAATATTTAAACAAAAAAATTATAGAGAAAAGTAGAAGGTATAGCAGTATTGGCTGAGTTAGTCTTACTAACAAGGGAACAACATTTAGTAGTTTTTGAGCTCCAATGTTATATGTGCGCTACAACTGAAAAGACAAATTACATCCAGTCCTTCCCCCTTGAAGAGTTTAAAACCAGTGTGATGACAGAAATTATTTAAAAGTAAAGTCAAAAGACAGTTGAGGTGCCTGCCCTCAGAGAGCTTATATTCAAATTCTAGTCCCTCCAGAATGTGTTAATTTTCATATATCTACATACTATTCTACCATATCATTTGAGACCCAATTCCTATTACATTTCTCATTGAAAGTTCACACTAAAGGATACAGTATTCATGATGAATTTAATGTCTGGGGCCATTTCTTTGAGCTGAATGTGGCTATACCCTAGTATTTTAGTATATATACTGTGTATGTGTGTGTAGGAGCAGCCATGACAGAAATGATTTTAAGTCCTGTGAACATGGAAAGAGGTACTCTTTGATGTTCCATAATCCTTATCTTGGTCTGAGGATAGGGAAAACTTTTTTTGACAACTGTCATCTGAATTAGGCTTACCAAAAAATCCCTATTATTTCAGCACTGATAGACTAAGAACCATAAAAATGAGCTTTCTAAAGGAAGCTGTATGTAGGGGGTCATTTACAATTTCCATGCAGTGAAAATGGTAGACTTCCAATGGTAATGGAAGTCTATTACCAACATGGTTAAAACAAATATTTGTGTTTTAGGAATGGATGGAAATCACATTACTGACCTGCAGGGCAAAATCGCTGTTCTGGTCCATCATATATTGACAGATTTTTGTTTACAGGAATACTGTCATCCTTTAAGGTTAAATGTGCTGGCTGGTCATGTTCATGATTAGTACCACTTAGGGCCACAGATGACAAAAGGTCAAAGCTGATCTGTCCATCAGGTTTTGGATACTCAATAGGTGTGCAGTCCTTGGCTGGCTTGAGCTGATCAGAGTCAGAACCTTAAACCATTTTGAGAAAGATGTTTAATAAAAATAAAACACTAATATAAAAGTACTTTATCAAACATTTTTATGAAAACTTGAAAATACCCTACCAAAGAAATAAAACTTTAACCCTCTTATGGTAACAATACACTATTAAAAATACTGAGTTCATTATTTCTCTACTAAGACAAGTTCAAAACGTTAAATTTACTTTCTCTACTACTTAATGGATTACATTCATGAGGTTAAAAAAATTTTTTTTAAAGGTAAGCTCTACCCCCATCATGGGGCTAGAACTCATGACCCCAAGATCAAGAGTCACATGCTCTACCAAATGAGCCAACTAGGTGCCCCCCCATTCATGAGCAGCTAATGATTTTAATACTCATACTCAAGTATGTTGGAATTACCTTTATGTTTTAGAGTCCATGGCTCCATTCCTCTAAGTATCCAGTAAAAGATTCCAGTGTAAATCATCCCTCCATATACACCCAGTATTCCATGGCAGGATGGTCTTATATTTCTAACAGAATATAGCTCTTTCCACACCCATGATTTCTTCAAATTGTCCTCATACTCAGTTACATGGAGTCCTTTTATTAAAAACGTGAAGTGTTAAGTGTCAAATCACCTCAAGGAGTATAAAATACTTTATCATGAAGGTATTTTGCTGCTGAAATATTTGATGAGTGAATCTTAAGTAAATTTAAACAGGTGGTCATGTGAGACCACATCTGAAGAATCTTTCCTGTGTAAATGTTGGCATCTTCCAAAAAAGATAACCATTTGATATATGTTGTTAACAGGCAGTAAGACATTTGATTTCTTAAACTAGTAGCACAGAAAATCCATTTCAAAACTGAATGAACCTGAAATGGTTACTTACAAAGTTCATGCTACTATAAAAGTGAGGCATTTTATAACTGATTAAATGAAACACTTACACCTCTTACAAGTTGAATTGTGTCGCCCCCCCCCAAAAAAAAGGTGATTTGGAAGTCCTAACCCCCAGGATCTCAGGATGGGTCAGAATAAGGTCACTGCAGATGTAATTAGTTGAGGTCATATTGGAATAGAGTGGGTCCTTCATCCATCGACTGGTGTCCTTATGCACATGGAAGAGAGGTGAAGATGGAGGCAGAGATCAGAGTTATTCTGCCACAAGCCAAGGAATGTCTGGACCGATCAGAAAGCTGGGAGGGGTGAGAAGACTAGAGGCAGCAGAGTAAGGTCCCATCAATGCCTAGAGAACTCAGAATAAATTCCCGTTGTTTTAAGCAGCCTGGTTTGTGGTACTTTATTGTGGCAGCCCTAGGAAATTGTAACAATACCTAAAACTTGCTGCATGCATTTAACTGGTTCTTAACTGTCACAAACTCCATAGTGACTATACACGTCCAGTCACAATGTTGCCTCTTCTGGCTCCATTCCCTCTCCCTCAGGCTGTCATCCTCAACCTAGTCTTTGGTGATCTACTTGCTTCAGTATCATCTATGTGCTGGTACTGTGTGTCAAGAAGGTGAAAGTATGGCTGGTGGTCCCAATAAGGAAAGATAACTTGGCAAGAAAATTAGGAAAAAGGTTCCACTGCTCAACAATTACACTCCTTACCTATTCTGTTCTCCTTGAAGTAGCTTCTTGCCTTTTCTATGTTCTATCTATCTCCTTCCTCTTCCACATCCTAGACCTCCAATTCTACAAAGATACTTGAAGGCATAATCAGGTTTCATACCTCTACTTGAAGGAACACTTGTTATTTGGAATTCTAAGGAATAAGGTTTATTTATCAAATATCCGTTGAGTTGCTACTATATGCCAAGTATTTGGGATTCATAATGAACAAAGTCCCTGCTCTGCTGAAGCATTCTCTGCAAGAGGCAGGAGATAAAGTTGATACATAAGTATCTTCCCAAAAGGGGGAGAATACTATATAAAAAACACGGGTGTGGGTGTGTGTGTGTGTGTGTGTGTGTGGAGGGGCGGTGTTGGGAGTGCTCTGTGTGTGTTGCAAATTAACTGGTATGGTGAATGTAAGGCCACCATGAATGCGCGTTTGACATTTGTTTCTTTTTTTTTTTTTAATTTTTTTTTTTCAACGTTTATTTATTTTTGGGACAGAGAGAGACAGAGCATGAACGGGGGAGGGGCAGAGAGAGAGGGAGACACAGAATCGGAAACAGGCTCCAGGCTCTGAGCCATCAGCCCAGAGCATGATGCGGGGCTCGAACTCACCGAGCGCGAGATCGTGACCTGCCTGAAGTCGGACGCTTAACCGACTGCGCCACCCAGGCGCCCCTACGTTTGACATTTGAGCAAAGGTGAAGGCAGAGAGGGAGTTAGCCATGAGTAAAGACCATGAGATGGGAACATGCTTGGCATGTTTCAGGAATAGTAAAGACGCCAGTGTGGCTGGAATGGAGAGTAAAAAGAGATGAAATCAGAAGAGTAAGAAAGCTGAGGCTTTTATTTTGAGAAAAATTGAGAACTATTAAAGGGTCTTCATAGATTAAGGGTTTACAGAGGTTTCAGTGTTCACTCTTCCTCTCCACCACCGCAGAAGGCAAAGCCTGCAAAGGAAAAGGTGCTCCTGGGTTCTGCAGTGTGCAAAGCTGCTCTGTTTTCAGATTGAAGACACTTCAGTATTTGTGAGGTATCTTAGTGTGTATATTACATACA